AAAAAAGCTCCTGCGGAAGAGCAGTATAAAGGAAACAAAAGAAGCCAGTGAAGTATGACAGGCTTAATTTACTTGTTTTATTTATTTGCTAGTGTGACTTCGGACTTTTACTCAACGAACATAGTGATTTGAAACGAGAGGTTTTCAGATATTTTTATTGTTTAAAAGTAGTTTAGTTGTTGGGCTGTGAAAATAGTGGCAACTAAATTACTACAACGTTGTTCTTTTGTTGGTGTGCATAACTAAGACTGGATAATCACCTGTCATGCATGACATCTTGGTCTAGGTCAGTGCTTCCCCAACTTATCCTCAGCATGACCCCATCTGTTGATGTTGTGATGCCATCTGGGGTTGCGGCCCACAGTTTGGGAACTGCTAGTCTAGGTATTACTTACGGACTTAGATTAGTTTACACTGCCATAAGAGTAATTTTAGGGTTTATTTTTTCCTTTTTATTGAGTTAAGATATGTTCTTATTTTGGACTGATGCAGCACTGTATTCTGACCTCAGATTACTTTGCCTCCATCTAGGAAAGCAAGTAGACACACTGTTCTCAGAGCTTTTAAAGCGTGCCAATTTCTTCACACACCAGGAATTTCAAATGAATGGCAATGCAGCTTTTTTCAGGGCCGATGATAAATTGCACTGTAATAAACTGATCAGGAGTTAATGAAGGCATGTATAATTAGGGGTCTGCTTAACTCCCAGGGGGGAAAAAAAAAGCAATTTTAGGGACTTGGTTGCAGCACAAATAGTAGATTCTCATGGGCATTTCCCGGTGGTCCTGTGTCTCGCCACTGATTGGTGGAGAGGCATTTACTGTATAATGTAATAGCAAATTCTGTGGAAAGTAAGTGATATAATATAATTTATCATATGCATTTAAATATTTAAAATATAAATATAATTTTAGGTACAGTATGAATTGTAACATCATAATTTATTATGTAGTGTTCTATAAAAAGTTTAGATATTACACAATAGTAATCTTAATAGAAACATTTTTACATCACTGACTGGCACATTCAGTTAATCTCTGTCACTAGCAGATGGTAACTCAATCACATGATCTACGGCTGCAGTGACTGTCATGTTGTCTTTGTATTGCTATAAAGATTGGGACATTCTAAAATAGTGTATTACATTAATTATACGGTTTTCTAAGGTTGATTTTTTTTTTTTTTTCTTTTTTTTCCTGGGAAATCACAGCCAATGCAGTATTTCCTGGCCATCATGGACAATACTTTTGTTGTTTTGGCAAAGCTATGAATTAAGTAGACCCCTAAATATTATATAAGGTAGTTCATCAGTAAAGATGCCAAGGGAGTCATCTAAGCATTTGGCAACCATAGCAGGTGTTTCTTGCAACTCCGCGTTCAGCTTCAGAATTCATGTGGAGTCTAGTAGAATATTTCAACTGAATGGGACTGCAAAGCAGAGTTTTGTTTAATAAGAGTTGCACTGTGGCCACTTGAGATTTGAGATTCCTTTACCAGGTTTAGGATTAACCTTCTAACTTTGGAAGGGGTTTTCTTTGTTACTTCCAGGTGCCTTTGAGTTAAACTGTGCCACCACGTAAGGAAACTAAAATGTGTCAGTTGCTCCTTCTGGGAATGAGAATGGACAAAGTAGTTTTGTTTGAAATTTTCCTTGGAAATCATTTTTTACTGGCGGCTATTTTTTAGCTCAGGGGTGTCAAGTGTCTAGCTCCATCCTCTTTCACACCCCCATCCATGTAGTTGAAAGCTGCTTTTAAATCTCCTCTCAGTCTACTCTTCTCCAGACTAAATAAGCCAAGTTCTCCCAGCCTCTCCTCAGAAGTCGTGTGTCCTAGCCCCCTCACCATTTTGTTGCCCCCTGCTGGGCTTTCCCCAATTTGTCCACATCCATTCTGTAGTAGGGGGCCCCAAACTGAACATGGTACTCCTGATGTGGCCTCACCAGTGCTGAGCAGGGTAAGAATCGTTTCCTTTGACTTGCTGGCAAAGGAACTCCTACGAATGCAGTCCAGGGTGCCATTAGCCTTCTTGGCAACAAGGGCACACTGCTGGCTCCATATTCAGCTTATTGTTCACTGTTACCCCCAGGTCCTTTTCTGCAGAGCTGCTGCCCAGCCAGTCAGACTCCAGCCTGTACTGATGGATGGGATTATTTCATCCTAAATGCAGAAATTTGCACTTGTCCTTATTGAACCTCACGAGATTCCTTTTGGCCCAGTCCTCCAATTTGTGTAGGACACTCTGAAATTCTGGAACTGCTTGCCTCTCACCCCCTTTACCAAGAACCAAACTGGGGTTTCTAGTCACTGTTGATAGCTAATATCAATGGGAAATGGAGGGGGGGGGGAGATAAATGGCTGCAACTGTTAGCCTATATGAGATGCATTCATTTTCTTACTTTTATTTTTTTCTCACAACGCAGAAGGCATTCCATAAAGTGAGATTGTAATAACATTGTAATCTTTCTTCAAGGGCCAAAAAGATCTCTTCAATTCTTTTGTTTTTTACATTGTACAAACAATGTATAAATAAAAGGGTCTTTGATACTCAAGCTGTTTCTGTAGTATAAATCATTAATATTCAATTTAAGGCTAAATATACTTGTAAAATGCAAATGAGTTTAACAAGGAAATCAAATATAGCATGCAGCAAAACAAATCCTGTGTTCTAAAATAGAAGACACCTTAGTGTCACCCTTTCTTCCAGAAGTTAAGTTGAAATGCATAGTAGTAAGCTTCCTGTGTCCCTTGATGATGTTTGCCAGGAGGGAGGGGCACATCAAAAGATTATTTTTTCACAGTAGTCTCCCAACTATCCTTAGGTGGCTGCCATGTTGGAATTTAAAAAAAAAATAAAAAATTGTAGTTGGTTACCACCCTTTTCTGTTAAAAATAGTGCCATCTATTGCTGTGTGACCAGTTTGATTGTCTTCAAAAAGCAAACACCTGGATAGATAAACAATTAATATTTAATTATTATAGATGAACAAAGCCTTGTAGTAAGTGAAGCCTACACTTCACATACGGGGCTGATTCAGGTGCTACAGTAGCATTTATGTCTGTCTTACAGTGCAAAATGTTTTTTCTTTTGGCTCAACTCTACTTTCAGTCATTAAATTGTCATCTTTGCATTTTAAAAAATATCTTTAATGATTCATTTATGGTTGTGTTTGCTACCCAATAGATGCATACATTAATATACATATACATATAGTATATCTCTCAGTTGGTAATTTTTATGTAAATCTTTGTCTGTTTTTTTGCTCTCTGCATTTACTTGTATCAAGTCTACAGGACTTAAACTTCCATAAGAATTTTTCCCTGGTTGTCCATTCTGAAGTCCTAAAGGGCTAAAGCCCCAACCACATATAGTTTCCATGTACATGCTCCTTTTCCAAAAAAAAAAAAATTGTTTAAATTTAAACATAGCCCAGACCTTTGATTCTGGACTATTATATAACGCTACTTTTGCCCTATGGGTTAGTCATTTTTGTTGTATCTGTGGTCCACAGTAATGTTCCGTGATAGTTTATTGACATTAATTTGGGTCTCCAGATTAATCATAAGTGTTGATATTGCAGATCATTCCAAGAGTGTTGATGAAACTTTAGTACCATACCACATTGTATATTGCATGCAAAGCAGATAATGTACAGAGGACAAATATTTTACAAATGCATTAAAGAACTTAAATATTTGGCCTTCTTTTTTTTTTATTTTACTTTTCCTTCTATAAAGGCCAGGTGTAAGCTTCAGGTTGACAGACCTAAATTATGCTTATTGTTTTCCTGTGCGCTACAGCATCTAGCAAATTTCGGTTGTCTTGTATTTGATGGCTTTAATACACATCATCAATGAAAACACGGTAGTCTTTCCAGGTGCTAACAAATACATATTATGGAATGCTTCATGTTGAATGTCTTGATAATCTCTGGGATGTTTGAGACCATTTAAAAGTCTATATTTACAATCAAATCAGTATGATGTTACAATCCTAGGTATTATTTTAGAATAACTTAACTTGTAGCTTTCTTTGTCTCATTAACTTTTTAAAATTGTAGATGCTGGCATCGCCATCAACATCAGGTCAGCTGTCTCAATTTGGGGCAAGTTTATACGGGCAACAAAGTAAGAATTCAGTTTATTATCAGTATGTTTGATTGTGATATATGAACATGTCACTTTTACGTTATAGAGAGAAAGCGTGCACGTGGTCTTATTGTCTTCTGATTTACATAAGAGATCTTGAATCTTTTTCTCTGTGGCTTTTGTGTAGGGTATATTTTAGGATGAGTGAAAATTTTAAAAAATGTATTTACCATGTGCTGGTATTCTACAAGTCCAAAATAAATAATACTGAAATATTAAATACCTCATGAAGAGAGAATAGTTGTGGATTTACCTATGATTTTTTTTTTTTTAAAGACCACTAAAAACTGAGAGAAAATAAATCCTAGGTTTCTGAAGAATGGACATGGGGGATCAGTTTGCTGTGAAATGTGGTATTCTGTTCCCAAGAGGCAAATTGTCATATGCTTTCCTCTAAAATGTGGTCAACACGAATAATTATTTGCAGTTGTATTAGTAAAGCTGGGAAAAAGGAATGTGTTTTCCTTCCTGACCCATTCTTCCTTCTTTTTCTGTTTCGTGCAGATTTAAATTGGTAGATGCAGGGAAATTTAACTACTGATATGGAAAGGTTTTACATATATTACTTGCTTTTAGGTAGACTTGTCTTGAGACTCTCTAATCAATTTCTGTTAGCAGATACTATCAGGAAAGTATCTTGCAGGATATTTTAGTAAGTGACTTTTTCAGCTGGGTAAAACCCCCGTCTCCTGTCTTTCTAATACACTATCTAGATATTCCTTCAGGTAACATTTAAACACTACTATGATAAAGTGGTTGTCTTGAAAATTGTTGATTGTATCACAGTGTTAGATCAACTGGTACTTCCTTCAGTGTTGCAGTTTTCTAAATCTGTTTCTAGGTGATCAGAGAATGTGGTTTTAGGGCTTTCTTGAGCCTAGAAGCTGGCATTTATTAAGCCTTTTATTTAGCTTCCACCACTTGCATAAGTTGGGCCTATGATATTTTGTAGTTACTGTTATCACAGGTTTTTATTCATTATGTCCATTAGACCATCTTGATACTGTTTAACATGTTTTTCTTAACCTAGCATTTCAGCTATGTTTGGCTTTAGAAATCAGCTGCAGAACTGACCAAAGTGGAATTCTGACCTAAAACTGGAAGATATTAGCAAGTTTTTTGTTTCTTTTGGTGTTCAGAAAGGGGAAAACTACATGCAGTTCTTAAGACTGTTTAACCATTTGAAATGCTATTTGGCAGTACAAAATTGACAATGTAAAAATATTTTGTACCTTGGCATTTTCTTTTTCAACCATCTAGCTATGTCCCAGTCTAGCATGGGATTACTAGATCCATAGTGCCACAAATCTGAATCGTAGAAAACAAATTTTCAGGCACAGAATTAGCCCCTATTATTTTCTTTTTCTAGTGATCAACCTAAATCATTTGCCAGCTAAAACTTTTGGTGCATGAGCAATTACTGAATGTAATAATGAAAGAGGAAGGTAAAAAATAGGGTTTTTTCAGTGACTGTTCTCAATAATTGCCAAACAGTTTATAAAATGTGATCTTTAAATTGTTTAAAAATATTTGGACTGATGATTATAACATGGAACATTTGGTATCCTACAGTAGGCTTAAGGTTTCCTTTGCAAATTTTTTTCTTACCTTGTAGCTCTGTGTATATACAGGTTATATCCACTTTTATTAATATTACTTTGTAAATTTGCTTTGCCACTAACACCCCCAGACTTTCCCAGGGAACACTTTTAAATTTTTATCTTTGTGATGTAATATATATTTTTTCATACTAAAATGCTTTATTTTCTGCTACATATACCTACACATGTTGAACCACTGTGTTGGTTGCAGTAATACACAAATCAGTGTGATGTTTACAGTGATTCTTTTATTATACTGGAGGATGGTTTAAATCCAATTGTCTTCATTTTCTTGGAACCTTGCATATGACTTCATTTTGGACACTGAAGTTTTATCTTCAAGAAGCAGAAATCTGCTTTTGTTTTTTATT